GCTTGGTCTGAATTGTCAATATCAGGGTTCGTTGTGCCTGGATGAGCTGGGAAATGGCCGCATTGCCCACCCGAGGGAAGCTCATGACCTTCCACCACGCAGGGTCAGACTCACGCTCCCCCCCCCCCACACACAGCTGCTCAACTCCCAGTTTCCACACAGGACTTGATCTTCCCAACCTGAACGTCCCCCCGCACTGAGGTCTCGCCTTTGGGTCTTTTCCCCTGAGTCACCCAACAGGCTGACCCACCACCAGCCATCGTCGTGATGCTTGGAGGAAGGTCAGCCTGGGGGGGGGGCCGTGCTGGCGTGCAGGGTCGCTCCCCCCCTCGGAGGCCCTTCCCGGGTGCGGGAGGACACCCACGCATGGCAGCAGGACTCGGCGCAGAAACGACTCGGCCAAGCACACAGCACGGCCAGGGATGTGCTAGTGCAGAGCAGAGCCAAGACAAGGCAGGATGGTGTTACTTCAGGACACGGGGCTGGCCTCCTCTGCTCCCTGGGAAGGGTGGGGTGGGGTTTTTTTTCCCTTTTTTTTTTTTTTTTTTCCTCTCTCCTTTTTCCATCTCGGCCGTTTGGAAGCACAGGGCAGAGCTGATCCCCGCTCCTCTCTGCAAATGAGACCACCGTTGCGATCAGCAAAACGGCTAGGACGAGGGTCAGAGGTCTCATGCAGAAGGTTTGAGCCGAGTGTCCTTTGAGCGTGGGGTGTTTATGGCTGTGTTATTCCTGTGTGTTTATTATGGTGGGGTCTGAGCTCCTGCCTGCTCCAGTTCTGGGGTACCAGGCATAAGCAATTGTTTCGTACCTCATTTGGGTACTTTGTTTAGATCTCCAGCTTCAGGAGTCAAGTGAATAAGGGCAATTCCCAAATTCCTTGTTAAGCAGGGGGCTGTGCTGCTGCTGGCTGCAGAGGAAGCAGGTCCCAGGGCAGCTGGGGGATGCAGGTAACACTACAGTAGGACAGGCTGGGGACTACAGCTCCTCGCAAGTAAGACACGGTGTCTTTGTGCAGGCACAGTTTCAGTGGGACCAGCACTCCATTTTTTTTTTTTTTGGTGCTTGCCATGAGAGCACTTTCAGCTAGTGCAAAAGGCTTTGGGGTGTCTGTGTTGCCCTGGAGATGGGATGAGATGGGATGGGATGGGCAGAAGCCTCATTCATTTAAAGGTCTGGCCTGAAGATTGCTCTTAGCACCTGCAAATCCTAGAGCTGCCTTCACTTGAGGGTGTCTTAAAGAAACCTTGGAGTGGTCTCCTTAGGAGTCCCCAGGTCTCCTTCTCCCACCGCTTCAGCAGGCAGGGTCAGGCCAGTCCACGTGAGCCGGTCGGGGCTGGGGTAACTCCAGCACCCGGACCCGGAGCTCAGCGTTTCAGAGCCGCGGTTAGCCGGGTGTTAGCTGGAGCCTTCAGATGGGCTGAGCTCAGCCCCCTCGGCCTCTCTGAAGCCTTCCTCCCACGCAGGCATCCCCAGAGGCGCTGGCTGCGCAGCCGGTCTCCGCAGAGCTGGCCCAGGAGCGAGGCGCAGCTGTGAGCAGCCTCTCCCCGCACCGGGCACCCTCAGCGGTCCAGGGGCCGTGTCTGAGATGCTGGGGGGGGGGAGTGGGACACGACTTAGGACGATTTTGCATCCCACTCCTTCTCCTCTCTGCATTGTCAAGTGTAATTCTGTGCCATCCCATTCTCTGTTGCTCATGAGAAGCTTCCCTCAACCCCGCTCCAGCCCCCTGGGTTGGGCTGCAGCACGGCAGAAGGGTCCATCAGTCCATCGTGGCAGTGCCCAAGCCAAGGAGGGAGCGGAGGCTGAAGCAGACCGGGCTCCTAGTGAACAGCATGACCTCAAAGTCTGTGTTCTCAGCCATGGCAGGGACATGCAGATGGTGTCAGCGAGGAAAGAAGTCTCCGGTCTGGGACTGGAGCTGATGGGAGCTCTGCTTGTGTCTTCTCCAGGCTGCAAGGAATAGAAAAAGCCATTTTCTCACCCCCCTGGGACTTCCCAGCCACAGCAGGGCTGGTGCTGCTATAGCTGCAGCAATAGATGTCCTGGCTAGAGCAGGCAAGTGGCAAAGGATTGTGTCTAAAATCCAACAGCTCATCCAGGAGCAGCCTGTAGCAGCCATGCAGTGAAATGTCTGGCTTGTGCAGCAGGACCTGGCCTTCGTGCGCTGGGAAAGTAAAGCAGGGTGCTGGAGAAGGGGAAGGTGTTACACTCAAGCTCCCGTGTGCCTGCACCAGCGTGGCAGCTCCCAGTAACCCCCAGAGGCACTATCTCCTGTCACCCCGCAGCGCTGGGGACGGCTTTCCTCCAGCAAAGGGCTCCGGGGCCAGGGGCAAACAGCCTGTGCAGAGTTAACATCCCCCTGCAGCCCCTTCCCTGCTGACTGGCAGCAACAGAGGACATGATGGGGACTGGATTGGGATGGGGAAGAGGGGTTTGGAGGCGGCGGGGTGGGACTCAGGCATCTTCAGTAGCTGGAGGGCTCCAAATGTTACCGAGAAGTGAGGAAGGAGCCAAGCAACTGTCTGCTGGGACTGTGTCTCTCGGTGCCTGCGTTCCTAATACCAGGGCTCCTGCATACTTTCTCCAAGACCACAGCGGAGCTGCAAAGCACTTCCTTTTACCAGGATATTTATTACTAAATATATGAATCTGGGAGCCTGTGGAGCATGAAATTAGGAACAAATGTAAAAAGGAGGTCTAGACAGGAATTGTTCTGCTTATGGGCCTCCACATGCTCTGCTTTCTTCCCCCTTTGCACACTGGAGAGTTTAATGCTTCCACGTACGGAGCTTTAATCAGACAAGTATGTTATGGGAGGAAAAAAGAGTGAAATGCAAATGGTCTTCCTCTGGATAGAGCAGTGACTGTGATGCCACGTCTGGCTGACCGCAGCTGGACAGAAGCCATGAAAATTGGCTCTGTACAAGCCTTGCTTGTCTCCCCGGGGTAGGCAGCCATTCAGTTAATCAGTGAGGAAGCTGGGGAGCCCTCCCTGCCAGAGCCCAGCCTGCCACCTTACATCTTGGGCTGGCGAGGAGCTCGCCAAGATGCTGATCCTCTCTGATGGGTGCAGCACTCGGCCCTGAGAGGCTGCAGGGTTGAGTCCGGCCACCCCAGAGCCAGGTCCTGCGCCTGCCCTGCACACCCCTTCCCCGGGCTCCCTGGCAGGATGGTGTTTGCAACTGGGAGCAGCAAAGGCCCCACGGATGAGCCTTTCCAGCTGGCTCTGCCGGGCCGGTGCCTGTGCCCACAGCACCCGGTGCAGCCCGAGGTCAGCAGCCGAGTGCCTCCAGCCCCCTTTAAGCAGGACTCAAAGTTTTTCAGTCACTAATGAGTTCTTTGCAAACCCTTCCCCTGACTGTGTTCTTCCCCCCCTCTCTTCCCACCCTGAGCCTCCTCAGAGCATTTTGCCCGAGGAATGAGGGCAGGATTTGGCCCGGCGCTTGCCCCATGGCCGTGCGGTGCTAGAAGTCGTTCAGACATCATTATGAATTACCTTCCCTCCTACAGCGCTGCTCAGCAGCAACATAAAATGTGATACTGCTTTATCCATTCAGCACTTACCCAACTTTAGCAGGACATTAAGCGCCTGAAAATATGCCACAGATTTATTTTCTTTGGAAACGGGTTAAATCCCTGACAGATACAGTTGCTTTTCCTCGGGTGCTGAAGTAATTTGGGGCTGGGGTGGCTGTTTTTTTGTTTTAACTTGATAGCATGAACTGGAGGCCAGCTTTGTTAAAGCACTTGTAGAGTAGGTGGTCAGGGTATGATTTCTCTCTTAATTTATGTCGCTTCTCCTGTTCCCAGCCCGACTTTTGAGGCACTAAAGGGCTGCTGGAGCTTTAGCTGCAGAGCAATGCTGGGATTAGTGCCGCTCTCTGCATAGCTGCTAGCAGGTGTGTGTGGGCAGGTACGTGTCTCCCCAACATCGTTCCTGTGACGAAGAGCTTGGTCTTACCCTGCGTGGGGTGGAGGGAAATTCAAGCCCTCCCGCGAGCTCTCGGGGCAGGGGCGCTCAGAGCAGGAGCCACGCTGGTGTTGCGGGGCTCGTGCGCTGCGCGTGATGCATAGCATCTGCCTTCTGGGTGAGCCAGAAGCAGAGACCTTCCACCACGACCAGTTCTGTGCCAGCACCCAGAGTCCTCTGAGGGACACTCCGGGGAGAGAAGGGGGCTGGTGGTACCCCCCCCAAAACGCAAGCGTGGGGCCGAGCTGAGCCACGGGCCTCTCTGTGAGGTGTCCCAGCCGCAGCATTTGCGGTGGTGGAAATGAACAGCTCGCCTGAGGCTGTCAGAAACACCATCCTGGGGTGCCTCCACAGCCCCCCCCCCCAACACTATGGCTTGGCCATGGCGAAGGCGAGGAGCTTGGTGCCTCCTGCAGCGGGCAGACACATCCCATAGCTCAGCTCGCTGCTCAGGGAGGGGAGGGCGCCTGTCCCTGCAGCCATTAAAGGCTCACTTAGCAGCTCTGGTTATTCCAAATTAAAATACCACATTGTTTTCATAGGGAAAATGTATTATAGGCTCAGAGAAAAATGTGTACAGCTCAGAAAGCTCCTTCTCCTGTCACTGATACTCTCTGCCACCAGACAGGAGCCAGGAAGGTGCCCTGGGTGCCATGGGCACTGGGCAGAAAGTTTTATTTCCCTTACGTCCCCCCTCCTGCATGCAGAAGAGCCCAACGTGACTCTGGAGCTTTTGTTCACTAAATCTCTCACCCACTGCATGAAGTATTTTTTATCCCCCTACACCTGCAAGGTGGCATTTGGGGGGTGGGGGTGGGGCAGGGACTCCCTGAGGGCTTTCACAGTCACCCAGTGCCAGGATCTGGCCTGATCCTGCCCATCACCTCCCACAGAGCCCTGCTGGTTTTTAGCCCCCTGCAAACGGGGGTGAGCTGAGAGTTTGGGGATCTGCAGCCCGGTGCGTCACCCAGCACCAGGCTCACCCCGGCCCCTACCGCACCCCCGTCACCCCGTGTGCTCGCTTTTGCAGGCTGTTAATGGAGAAGAGGGCGGATGACAGCCGGGACCGTGGTCATCACAGGTGGAATATTAGCGACTGTCATTTTGCTTTGTATCATCGCTGTCCTCTGCTACTGTAGGCTCCAGGTAAGGCTGGGGTGGGGATGTGGGCCCCCCCCCCACTCCCCCCAAAGGGTGCTGCAATGGGGAGGGGAGCCCACGGGCAGCCCAGTGTCCCCTGCCTGCTGGTCCCCAGGGCTGGCATGCACGGAGCAGCCCCTCGGGTGCAGGGTGTGGGCTGCCCGCTGAGCCCCGGGCCCCGCGGGGCTCTCCCGTTTCAGTACTACTGCTGCAAGAAGGATGAGTCCGAGGAGGACGAGGAGGAGCCCGACTTCGCCGTGCACTCCCACATCCCCCCGCTCCACTGCAACCGCAACGTAGTGCTGACCAACGGCCCGTCCCTCTACGCCTCGTCCCCTTTTGGCAAGAAGCCGGCCCCGAGCCGGTCCAGCTGCCCCAGTTGCGCGCCGTACGAGCCCCCCACCTTCTTCTTGCAAGAGCCCCCCGAGGAGCTGCACAACGGGGGCGACCGGGTGAGCTACAAGACGGTGAGCCAGGAAGATCTCGATCTGCCCGTGAGCGTGGCCAACCTGCAGGCACTCAACCCCAACCGGCTCTCGGCCATGCGGGAAGCCTTCTCCCGCAGCCGCAGCATAAGCACCGATGTGTGAGGGGGGTGGCTCGCCCGCCCGGCCCGGAGCATCGCATTGCACCTCACCGCTGCCACCAGGGCTTTTAACAGTGGGGAGAACTTTCTGAGATTCGTGGAAGAGAATTGAAAAAGAAAAAAGAAAAGAAAAAAAAAAGAAAAAAGAAAAAAAAAAAGAAAAAAGAAAAAAAGAAAAAAGAAAAAAGAAAAAAGAAAAAAGAAAAAAGAAAAAAGAAAAAAGAAAAAAGAAAAAAGAAAAAATAAAAAGAACATATTTCCATGTTCTGTAGGCAGAGACATGATAAATGGCAGTATAAAGGGGTAGCAAAAGAAACAAGGGGAGCACGGGGGAGGACAGTTGCAGCTGGGACACAAGGTTTTCTAGCGACGCGTTGCAATTTTTTTTCTTTTTTTTTTTTTTGTCCTTTTATAAAGAGGCTTTTGATATCGCGCATCCTTTTATACAGAGTCAACGCCCCTCCTCGACATGCGGCTGGAGCGCCGAGTGATGACAAGCAAGTAACGGGGCGCACGGTTGGCTGTGAAATGGCTCGTGCTGCAAGTCAGCCGGCGTCTGCCGCCGTGTCGAGGGGGCACGCTGCGGCCGACTGCTCCTGGCCATAGTGTGCACACACACACACACACACACACAAAAAAAAACAAACAAAAAAAAACCCCTGCCACGGACCCACAGCAAAGCAGGGCTGCTACTGCCCACCCTCCTGCCACCTCCTCCATACTGCAGCCGTGTGTGTGTGTGTGTGTGTGCCCAGCCCTGCCCTGTTCCCAGGCCGTCTCGCTCCTCAAATTGGTCATTTATTCCTGGGTGCCGGGCGCGATCCCCTCAGGGTTAGGATGGCCAGTGGGTGCACAGCCTGGCCCTGCCCCTCGAGCCCCCGGAGCAGCCCCGCTGCCCCCTCCGTGGAGCTGGGCTGGGGGGGTTGCAACCCCATTGCATTACCTGGCTATGGAAAGAACACAGCACAATTTTGGAGGGAGGAATACACCTGTAGCCGCCGCCTCCGAATAATCAGCATCCCTGCCCCAAATAATGCCAGACGTGACTTCTGACTGAGGACTAGGTGAGAAAGAGCGTGAGTGACTGTGTATGTGCCCACCCCACCCCGCATACACATTTTTACCTGCGTTTGTGTGGGGCTTTTTAGAACAAAAAAAAAAAAACAACCGTGACGCTTTCTCCCCATCCAGGAATGTGTCGAGCCACTTTAGATTTAGGCAAAACCCACCTCTTTTGCATTTTCATCAAGCCGTTTCCCAGGGCCTGGCACTGCCCTGGCCGGGGCTGTGCTGGCAGAGCTGCGGGCAGGGAGCCGGCCGCCGCGCGTGGCCCTGGGCATTCAGTGTGCTGCAGAGAAGCCAGCCCGACAATTTGAATTCACAGCTGTAGCGGTGCCTACGTGGGGACTCTGGTGCTCCGGTTTCTCCTGGCCATCTCCGTTCCTCCCCTCCAACTTGGCAATACTCGCAGTTTGTCTGACAAGACACCCTCTTTCTCCTGGATTGTGCATTATTCAGGTTAAAAGCAGCGTGGTGGACTTGGGGATGGCTGGCGGAGGATGGACGGGCTGCGAAGAGGCTCTAATGGCCTCAGCTTTCCTTTTTAAAGATGCGATGGGAAGAAAAAGCCGTGGCTTCAGCCCCATTGGCTCACAAGCACCGTATGTAGCCCAGCTGGATATTTTACTTTTAACCACGAGGGCTTTTAATTCCACAGGAAATCTTTTGGAGTACAAGTCAGTCTTTGCAAATGAGTATCTTCGACTTTCTTGGGGGGTGTGCAGTGGGGGGGGTGGGTTGTGTTTGGGGCGGGGCGGGTCTGGGTTTGGTTTCGTACGTGTTTAATATTCTGGGCTTGGTCCCTGCGGTGCCACGTCCTGGGAGCACGATGCCTCTGCTCCAGGGGGACAGTAGCCACTTGGGCCATGCTCCCGTGTACAGTTCTCACTGGGTTTTGTTTCCACCCCTCGAGCCTTCCTCTTTGCATTTTTCGTGACTGTACTTCTCTCCTCAGCCTTCCTTTTTTCCCTTTTTCTGTTTTCCTTCCCATGTAGCTTGGAAACTAAGTGAACGGTTGGCTTTCACTAACCTTCACCTGGTGATCTGTTGTACAGCAATTCGGGAATCACAAAGTGTGGGGGGGGGGGAAATAAAAAAAAAAAAAAAAGAAATAAACTACTTTGACATGGGTTTTGAGACTGACCCTTTTGTCCCTGCATCTTCAGACATGGGGTGTTGTTTGCAAAGCTCTCACACAGGCGCAGGAGTTTCCCTGCTGCCGAGGGGAGCGATGCAGCAGTGATTGGGGTGCGCACCCCAGTACAGGGGATGCTAAGGAGCCTTGGGCCTGGTCTCGGTGAGTCATGGCTGCAGAAGCACACAGCAACAGCCCCCCTTGGGAGCATGGAAAGGCCCTTTTCTTGCTGGCACCATATCAAACCCGAGAAGCTTCAGGGCTGCAGTTCCTTAAACCACACATATAACCCCAAAAGGTCCCTAACCCAGAGCAACGGTCCCAAAATCCCCGGCTTCCCCACTGCTGGGACTTCTCCTCACATCACTGTCTCAGCAGCTGCAATTCCCCCAACTTAGAGCTACCCTGCTCCTCCCAGGTCATAGCCCTGACTCCAGTGTTCCCAGCACACGGGGGAAATGCCCACTACAAACTGGAGAATAAAACAAGATACCACCATAAATATGACAACTTTATTAAAATATACATATGAGTACAAATTAATGATTATATGGATAAAGTTCACTGTCTGTAAACAAATATATTAAAAAAGAGCACGTCTTTTTTGTGATATAAAGTGCAGTTATGTTTCCATATTATATACAATATGTCAGCATTACGGGGCGGGTTGTAAGGACTATGGAACTAACATTTGATTATAAGATAAAATTCTCTGAAAAAGTATACACCTACATATTACAAAAAAAGGGCTCGGGCTCAAGTTCATTTAGCAAACAAATATCAGCTTCACCCCACGTTAAATGCAGCTAACGAGAGCGTGCAGGTCTCGGGGATAAATTAGGAGAGAGGCACTAAACCTCTCTGCGAAGGGAAACTTGCACTTCAGAGTTCACACCTTCCCCTCGTCAACCCCAAACTTGCATAGAGGAAAGAAACCAAAGGACAAGACTTTGTGAAACACGTGCATGTGTCTGCAGTTCGGGGGAATCAAATATACACGACTTTATGTACAGCTCTGATAACGGGGGGCTGCCAATGTACAGCGGTAACGGCTTTGCAACCGAGCCGTGCCGGCACCGTTCCTCTACACGGGAGAGGGACAAGGATAGTAGTTCTGCAACTGTGGGGAAAAAATAAACAACCCAAAAGCATCCTTAACGCCAGTCTGTGGGATGTGTAGCGCTTACTAAATGGTAGACGGAGCCCTTGCTAGGGAGGAGCAGCCCGGGGGTGCCGGGTGCTGCCGGGCTCTAGGAGTGGGGTGCGCGGCAGGAGCGGCAGCAGGCTTTGCTGTAGTACCAGTGGCTGCACAGGTTGACTTTGATGGCCAAAGCACAGTTGGTTCCTGCCTGGTCCTGGCAGCTGTCATCTGGGGGAGAGAAGGCAAAAGGCACCGATATGGAAAAGAAAAAGAAAATAAACCATTGCGAGCTCATTTCCGCCCCGCCCCCGTACACAGCCTGCCCTAAACACCCGGAGCTGTGCAGCAAATCAGCCTGGCTGCAACTACCACCTCCCCGATATCTGGCAGAGCATTCCCTGGAAAACGTCATGGAGCGTCTCCATAAATATCATGGTCTACCTAAGCAAAGGCGTGTTGACTTGTCTCATCACACCTGGCCTGGCCCGAGGAGTCTTACTTGGTCCCAGCCCCAAATCTCAAGCCCTTCCCTGCAAAATGGAGCTGCCCAGGGGTTGCTGGAGCCACCAAAGGAGCCTGGCACTGAGCTGCCCCCAAGCCAAGGGCCTACCGTGGTAGGGCACAGGGTAACCGCAACGCACTCACAATTTCTGCCCCAAAAAGGGTGTGTGAGAAAGGGAACAGGAATCCAGCAATGTTACAGCAGGAGTCTGGGGCAAGTGAGCTGCTGGAGAGAGGGAAGAGGGCAGAAACTGCTATGATGCTCTCCCAGCTCCCTTCAGAGCAATATTTTGCTTCAAACCCGTAAGATTTACAGTTTATATATAGATGCATATTTTGCTTAAAATCTATAGGATGCATGAAACCGGGCTCCTTGCTACAAGAGGACCACGAGGCATCTCGCAAGCACCGTGCTGCATCCCAGACCCTGCAGGAGAGGTCAGCCAAGGGCACCCAGCGGGTCCAGAGCTGAGCCAGGAGCTGGCCCCAAATCTGTCTCCCATTTTCACGCTTTTCTCCCACACTGTCCTTATTCGCAAATCCTATTAAAGAATTAGAACTGCGTGTTCACTAAAGATCACAGGGGCTTTGAGCCAGCAGATGAGTCAGATAACGAGATAGTTACAAATCCCACGGGACATTTGGAGACCGAAGATCATTAAAATAATGGCGGAGACAAAACTTCTTAGACATTAGCTGGAATCACACAGAAGCAGCACCCCAGTCAGCTATCTAAAGCTCCCTTTTATCTTAAGGTCAGAGCATGCTTCTTTTGAACTCTCCCTTTAATTTAATAGGGTTACCTCCAGAAATAGCCAGCGCACAGTGGCCCATTGCTTGGGCACAGAAGAAGAGCTGTCCGCTTTATGTCCTCCCTGGGATGACTATCAAATTCAGGGTTGGTGGAAGCTAAGATGCTGGGCAGTGCTGCTTGGGGGGAACTGGTGGAAAATCAATGCTGGGGGGTGCTGCTGGCAGCGAGGCTCACCTGGGGGCTCCGTGGGGCAGGGCTGCAGGTCACAGGTCTGTTTGCCCACCGGCTTCATCAGTGGGTCGCAGCCCCGGACAATGTCCTTCCCTTGGTAGCACTTCACGTCCCGCATCCTCACACCGATGCCGCAGGTTTTCGTACACTGGGGAACAGAGAGAGGGGTGAGGCAAGACCCTGCTGTCGTGGGGGTCTGGGCTAAGCCAGGACCTGCTAAAAAAAAGCTGTGCTTGCTGGAGATGTCAGGGCAGGGCGATGAACTCTTCCCCTGGCTGAATGTCATGTCTCAGCCCCGCACCACCAGCCTCTTGCTCCATCTTTGCTGCCAGCACCACCAGCTGCCCGCAGCAGCCTCTGCCTGGGGACACACGGATGAGCCCCCAGTCCCCGGCGCTGGGATCCTCCTGCTGCCCATTGCAAAAGGCCACGAGCGAGCTGGCCCGGTCCATACGCTGCTCCATGGCACCACGGTGGCTGCAGCCACCCCGAGGCCACCGGGACCCCCCCCCGCAGCCTGTGGAATCGGCATCTCTGCGCCTCGTGCCGTGGGGTCGCAGAGCCGCTCCTGGGCCCGGCGCTCGCTGCCTGCTGCCCTTTGGATGCCTCGTCAGGCTGGGATTACAGCAGGGCTGCCTTGGTTAATTAGAATTGCAACAGCGGTTCGCAAGACTAAACGAAACGAGGCGCCTGGAGCACGGACAAGGAGGGCTGTGTCAGGGAGGGTCGCAGGGAGCCGGCCACAGCCCTTCGCAGCTCCTCGCCCACATTCACTGGGCTCATCCCCACGGCTCCCAAACCCGGGCTGCCTTTGGAGACCACGTAGGGTGCTGGGGCAAACGGTGTCCCCAACCTCTGCATTCCCCAGGGCAGCCATCCCGAGGGCTCCATGCATACCCCACTAGCATCTGTGGGGTAAGGGGTGATGATGGAGGATAAAAAAAAAAAAAAAAAAAAAGGCAAAGCTGACCCCAAACACCTCCTCTCATTCCCGTTTTTCCTGAGCACAGCCAGTCCCGATGGCACCATGGCAGGGCAGGCTCTCTGCCCCAAGCTGCCAATGAAAGGGCCACCCTGGGTGCTCCCCCAGAGTCTGTGTCCTGCAGAGATTTGCCCAACTCCTTGGGGTATTTTACAGGTGGTGCGGCCCTTGGTATGAGGGGATGGGGCACCACACGCTCAGGGCAAGCACGTGTTGAAGGAACGAAGGCATTTTTTGCCCCCATCTCCCTCCCACGGATCCCTTGAGCAGCTCTTGGCTCCCTCCCCGCTCACCTCCGACCAGGGGGTCGTGTACCACTTGAAGCACGGCCGCTCGAAGCACGTCGTCTCCTCCACCGGCTTCTTGGCCACGTCGCAGTCGGCGGGGTTACGGGTCTTGATCTTGCCGTTGACGATCTCCAGGCAGAGGACGATCCTCTTCTTCACGCCCCGGCCGCACGTGGTGTTGCACTGCAGGGCCACGAGCGGGGCCGCCTGAGACCCACGCACCCCAACCCCACCGCAGAGCATCCCTCCTCCATCAGCGCCCCCCTCCCCAAAACCAAGCCCCCTTACCCCAGCCCAAGGCGAGGGCTGCGCTTACCCGCTCCCAGTCCTGTGCCAGCCAGTGCGAGGGGCAGTTCTTGTCCCCGCAGGGATGGATGGCCAGGGGCTTCGTCTCCAGGTTGCACTGCGACTCCGGCACCACCCGCCCGTCGCTGGTTTTGCAGTACACGTGCCGGATCATCCTGCCCTGCCCGCAGCCGCCGCTGCACTGGAACCACACCGGGCACAGCGGGCGGTCAGCGGCGGGGAAGGCAGCATGGCTCCATCCCTGTCACGGGCACCGAGATACCTCCTTGGGGCTCAGCCGCCTCCCCCCAAACCCACCTTCCCCAAATCACGGAGGGATTATTGGGGCTCAACTTAAAAAAAACCAAAAAAAAAAACAAAAAAACAAAACAACAAACCCAACCCCAAACCCATCTCCCCCAAATCACGGAGGGATTATTGGGGCTCAACTTAAAAAAAAAAACAAAAAAACAAAAAAACAAAACAACAAACCCAACCCCAAACCCATCTCCCCCAAATCACGGAGGGATTATTGGGGCTCAACTTAAAAAAAAAAAAAAAAACAAAAAAACAAAAACAAAAAAAAAAAAAAAAAACAAAAAAAAAAAAAAAAAACAAACAAACCCAACCCCAAACCCCAAACCCATCTCCCCCAAATCACGGAGGGATTATTGGGGCTCAGCTTAAAAAAAAACAAAAAAAACCAAAAAAACAAAACAACAAACCCAACCCCAAACCCATCTCCCCCAAATCACGGAGGGATTGTTGGGGCTCAACTTAAAAAAAAAAAAAGCCAAAAAAACAAAAACAAAACAAAACAACAAAAAAAAAAACAAAACAAACAAACCCAACCCCAAACCCCAAACCCATCTCCCCCAAATCACGGAGGGATTATTGGGGCTCAGCTTAAAAAAAAACAAAAAAAAACAAAAAAACAAAACAACAAACCCAACCCCAAACCCATCTCCCCCAAATCATGGAGGGATTATTGGGGCTCAACTTAAAAAAAAAAAAAAGCCAAAAAAACAAAAACAAAACAAAACAACAAAAAAAAACCAAAACAAACAAACCCAACCCCAAACCCATCTCCCCCAAATCACGGAGGGATTATTGGGGCTCAGCTTAAAAAAAAACAAAAAAAAAAAACAAAAAAAACAAAACAACAAACCCAACCCCAAACCCATCTCCCCCAAATCACGGAGGGATTATTGGGGCTCAACTTAAAAAAACAAAAACAAAACAAAACAAAAAAAAACAAACCAAAACAAACAAACAAAAAAAAAAACCAAAACAAACAAACCCAACCCCAAACCCCAAAACCATCTCCCCCAAATCATGGAAGGATTATTGGGGCTCAGCTTCAACTAGCTGCATGGAAGCTCAGCTCATCCTTCCCCAGGCAGCCCTACCACAGCCAACATATCCCACTGCCCCATCACGCTGGCGCTGAGCAAAACTCAGCATCTCGGGCCAGGCAGGAGCAGAAGCGCCGGGAGCAGGGAACCCTGGAGTGGCTCTCCGAGAGGTCAAAGCAACGGGGATCGAGTGGCTGCAAATATTGTGTGTGGGGGGGTGTGTGTCCCACTGCCACGGGCCGGGCAGGCGCCGGGGGAGGCGGTGAGCGCTCCCCAGCTCTTCCGCGGCTGCTCCTGCCGAGATGCGCGGGGTTTCACAGCGCCGCGGCTGCCATGGAAACTACTTATTTTTAGCTGATGCTAATGTATCAGAACCTGGGTAAAAAATAGCTTGGGATGGAGGGGGTCTCTGTGGCAGAAAAGTGCGGGGGGGGAAAGGTAGAAAAGGGGGGAGGGAAGGTGGAAAAGGGGGGGACAGGAAAAAAGGGGGCAAAACAAGGAAAAAGGGGAGGGGGAAACAGGAAAAAAGGGGAGGGGGAAACAGGGAAAAAGGGGAGGGGGAAACAGGGAAAAAGGGGAGGGGGAAAAAGGGGAGGGGGAAAAAGGGAAAAAGGGGAGGGGAACAGGAAAAGAGGGGAGGGGGAAACAGAAAAAGGGGAGGGGAAACAGGGAAAAAGGGGAGGGGGAAACAGGGAAAAAGGGGAGGGGAACAGGAAAAGAGGGGAGGAAACAGGAAAAGAGGGGAGGAAACAGGTAAAAAGGGGGGGGAACAGGTAAAAAGCGGGGGAACAGGAAAAAAAGTGGGGGAACAGGGAAAAGGCTGGGGGGGGAACAGGGAAAAGGGGGCTGCCTGCAGGTGTGCCCAAGGCAGGAGCTGCCGGGGAGGACGAAGCCAATCCCAGCGCTGCCAGCACCAGACCCAAGCGGGGCCACTGGACCGGCCCCCCCCCCCCCCCCCCCCCGCGGGGTCTCACCGGTCCCCAGTCGGAGACGGTCCACTGCCGGTCGCAGGGCGGTCCTGTGCAGTTCTTCTCGGCCAGGGGCCGGGCGCTGGCGTCGCACAGCTTCTCGTCCTCCGAGCAGCGGATGTCCCGGGTCACCACGCTCCGCTCCCCGCACCGGGCTGAGCACTGCCGGGGGGGGGGACAGAATCAGCAGGGGGTCCCACCTCCATGGGAACTGGGAGCTGCTTTCTGTGGTTTGGGTTTTGTTTGGGTTTTTTTTGTTTTTTTTTTTTTTTTTTTTTTTTGTTTTTTGTTTTTTTTTTCACATTTTTAACCCGAAACTCTAAAAGCACATGCTGACAACGCACAGGTGACTAAAACAACCCGCAGCAAAGCCGCCCCTCTTCCCCCAAACCCCTCAACAGCTTCAGCAGGCAGGTTAAGGTGCAGGAGGGCTGTATCCTGCCCGGGTGCTGCGCAACCTCTCTGCCAGGTGATGCCAGATGGTGAAAAGCCGAGGCACCGAAAGCGCCTGATCAGAGCTGAAAAGTTTTAGCTGTCACTTAGAGACGGGGTGAGATCTCCCTCGCCTCCTTCCCAGGAACAGCCAGCTCCTTTCCACCTCTTTGGAGCATGTTTTCCCCAAACCGCACAACTGAGATTTTTATGCTGTGGATAAATTTGGCACCGTGCAGCCCAGTGACATTATTTAGAACTGGATTTGAGTTACTACAGTCTCACATACACACATTTGCTCCATGCATAACGTAAAGCAGGGAAAAGTGTCAACAGCACAGTGCTCAGACGCACCGCGCTGATATGTTAATCCTCAGATCCCTGAAACGTGCTTTTTTTTTATGCCTATTTCCCCAGCCAACTTGGCACCCTGCTTCAGATGGGATCCAAATGAGATTAGCTTTGCTGCTGGCTAAGAACGAACTACTCCAGGACTGTCTCAAGCAATCTGTCCCTGACACATGCTGGAGGAGAATACAGATTTCTGTAAAATAAGCCACTCTGGTTTGCTACGCCGGTCAAAATAACGCGCCAGCACGCGCGGAGGGAGCTCCTCTCTACCCAGCTGGGAAAGTCAAAACATCCTGCAACACCAGGGAACGCACCAACCCTTCCATTAGCTTGAAGGAAACGATGCACCCCAGCTTGCAGAGGAAAGGAAATATTTAAATTATGCCCAAGAAGTGTTTTGGGAGCCTCCCAGAAGGAAAAGTCCGGTCCCTCGGGGTGTAAACCGCCGGGAAAGCTTGCACCCGTGGACAGCTTGGCTCAGAGCTCAGTCTGCTCTTGCTTAGAAGGGGTCTGGGCTTGAATTAGGAGCAGGAATGACATTTTCTCCTTCGCAGAGTCAATGAGCATGCGGGCTCCAGGGCACAAACGCCGCGCTCTGCACGCAGCCGTCACCATCGCGGGGGGCTGGTGGTGGCACCCCGGGTGAGCTCGGAGACAGACCCAGACCTGAAATCCCACTCTCCCCATGCACGCCCACTAGCAGAAGACATTGAAGAGGCAGAGCTGCCTCCTAGCAATGTGGGGGGCATAGTTATACCCCCCATGTGTGTTTTTTGCTGCCAGCCATGCTGGGTCCCCTCCCCGCACCACGAGTGTCAACCCAGCCACAACGCTGGGGGCAGCGGGGGGACTGGCTCCCGTTCCACCCCAGTTTAGAGATCAGCCCCAGCTCCCTGAGGAAGCGGCACTGGTTTGGTCATTTCCATGGGTTTATGTTTGCAAACAACATGCTGGAGCACTGGACGTGCCTGGAAATTAATTCAGGGGCACAGATCCTTTCACGTTTTCCCAAGCAAACCGACGAGCTAAAGCAAGAGCAGCACTGCACCACCCCAAACCATCTTCCAACTGCTTTAGGGTTCTGCTTAAGGCACAGCTAGGAAAGGGTTTAATTCTCCAGGTGGCGCAGTGAAACGGGAGGTGAGGAAGTTTATGGAAACATAATTCATGTGTGAGGTGGGATCTCCCTGGCACCTTGCGCGTTGAAGAGGCTGCCAGGCAAGCAGTGGTGGGCAGATCTCAGCCACAGGCTCCTGCTCTGTCTCAGTGGACAATGTCAGCACCCTACGTGTGGTCAAAAACAGCGACCGATGGAGGTGGCCTCCCCATCCTGGAGGGGACCCAAGGCTTCATTTTAGGGAAAAAAAATAAATCACTGGTGCAGGTTGGTCCACGTGCAATGACTGCAGCCAGCATCCTAAAAGGCAGAGTCTCTCACGGCCATGGATGAGTTGCAGTCAGAAAAGGAATGGAGAAGTGCTGGCACGTGCGCTCGCCCTCAGCACTGACAGGCCAGCAGTCCCCGGGGACTTACCTCGGACCACTCGGACATCTCCCACTGGGGCCCGCAGGCTGGGTTCTTGCAGACCTTGCGCTCGTCTGGCCGGGTGATGTCAGCAGACTCGCAGAGGTCGCTGTAAACGGAGCTGTCAAATCCCGGGGAGATCATCTTCCAGCAGCGGACGATGCGGAACTGGTAGCCCTCCCCGCAGGTGCGGGAGCATTCGCTCCAGCTGCTCGTCTCCCACCTGCGGAGGCAAGAGAGGCTGTCGCGCTGGGCACGGCCGGACCATCCCACGGGAGAACCCTGCCTGCTCTCGGCTGGAGGGGGACGGCTGCAATAGGAGTGAGCCACGGTCAGGCTGCCAGCATGCGAGAGGTTTTCCCATGGGATGGGATGTACTAACCCACCGTGGTTTCACCCAGCAGACCCGGGCTCATGCCCACAGCGGCGGATGCTAAAATCAGATTGCTGAGAGGACGGAGGCACCGGCACGGTGAGGCGCAGACCGGTGCCCTCGCTGCTGAGCGTTTGTCGCCCGCAGGGCTTCGTGCTCCCCAGCTGTGACCCTGCGTGCGCCAGCACATTTCTCTGCCACACTTTTTGCCCGCGTTTGACCTCTCTTTTTTGCCTGATCAGCTAAAGCAGAGAGAGGACACAATCATCCATCACGCTGCAAATCCCGGCGATAATGTCCCACAAAGCTGTCTGAGCCCCAGTGGGACAGACATTCATGTACCACTGTCAGACCAACTCTGTTAACGTCATGCGATGGGGCTGGAAGAACTGGGATCCGCTCCCAGACACTGCCTGCCCCTTACTGTCCCCCTGCCACTACTGTCCTGACGTTACAAGAGGGGAGCTGCTTATAAACCAAGGGAAAAAGGCATAAAAAGTCAAGTTTTTTACAGTACAGTAACATTATAGCAATTCTGAATTAAAGAATAAGCTCAAAATGTAAAAATCTAAATGGATCAGCACCCACGGCTCCTCTGGACACGGGGCCATCCACTGCTGCTGCTCTCTGAGCAGAAGAGCCACGTCCCCCGGCTGCACGCCGGCCTCGCACCCCCCATGGGGCTCCAGGCACAACAAGCAGCCGTAGGGAGATGTCACACATTTCGAGGTGCCACCTAAATTCAGAAGGGAGATGAAACCAAGGTCTTCCCCGTCCAGATCAGGCAAGATATTCTCTTAGCACTTTCTGTTGGAAAAGCGTTGCCAGCCCAAGCAGCATCCCATCTGCTAAAGTGTTAGCAAACGTGCTCGGCTGCCCCGTTTGAGTCCCCGGCAGCTCCCTGGTTTACCCACCGCTGAGCTGCAATCACCAGTAAATCACAGAGCAGCTCTTCTCTCTTACAGCGCAAGCCCATGGAGCTGGAACAGCACAATTGTAAGGAGGGGCAGCTTTACAAAAGACCAGTGGCATAATCTAAGCATGAAAAGAGCCCTAATACTTGTACTAAAAAAAATTACAAAGTTAATGCAAATAGAGATTAAAGCCCCCGTGGTGTCTACAGAACAGGTACGTTCCCAGCAGTAGCACCTTCCACCTCCCCGCACTTTTCTTGCCTCAATTGCAGCCTGCCCTGGCTTTCAGCCTTAACATGCAAGGTTCAACAAGATCTTACACTGCAAAGGGCATGTGCTTTCCTCCCTCATCCTCCTTCAAAATTACCTGAGGTGAAAGCAAGCACTCTCCAGGGACCAGGAGCCGTACCTGGTCCTTGGCATCACTCTAGTCTTGCTTTTCACTGTTCGCAGTGACACCATTCCAGCTTTACTTCTCCTGTTGCCTCAGCCATAGTCTGACACCACCGCAGTCCTCCTCCCTTGGACAGACTCCGGGCTGTCCTGCCCATCACTGCTGCCACTTGCAAACCTTCCATCGATCACACCCGCTGTTACAGACCAGCAGCGGAGGGGCCCCGAGCCGTACAGCCCAGCTCTGGCCTGCGGTCACACTTTTCGGATAAAGAGCCACATCAGAAGGGAAATCTTCTGAAGGACCTTCAGCACGGGTTCCCCTCTGCACCAGCTCTTGCCCTGATACAAGCAAACCTCGGCGATGTTTAGGATGCCCAAGGGACCCGAGGGCTGGATCCGTGGCACCATTTGCAAGCCCGGCCCTTCCACCCGATTCACACACACGTTCCTCCCCGCGTGGGCCAGGGCAGGATACTGCCTGCATTGTTAGGAACCCCAGGTGCAAACACTGCCAGGATTTATGGAAGTTTGAACCTGGCAGCTTGAGCTAAAGCACTCAGGAGGAAAGCCTTGTTGCATCCCGGTGCAGCCTGGGCAGATACAATTAGAGGAGGAGTGACAGGGGTGCTACGGGCCATCCCTGCTGCTCCCCCCCCACCCCCAAATCCACGTTGACCCCCTCCCCCAAATAGATCCACGGCACAGAAAGCGCGGAGCCCCCCAGGAGCGCCCTGGCGAGGTGGTACCTTGGCTGGCACTCTCTCCCAGCACAGAACTCATGGATGGGCTCAGGACGGGTCATGGCATCACAGTACGTATCATCCACTTCGATCCCATCATAGCGAACACACATAGCATATGTGGACATCACTCCTAGTTTCAAAGAGAATACATACACACAACAGAGGACGCTTGGTGACTTTGACATCCAAACTCTTTTTTTTTTTTTTATTTTATTTTATTTTTTAGCTCCATTTTCCAAAGCTTCCTCCCAATGGAAAGCAGCAAGCCGGACTTTCTGGCCGGTGGGATGGACGCTGCTGGGAGGGGAAGACTGTGGTGGCCACCCAGCCAACGTGGGCAGCGCACTTGAGTTGGGCCGGCTCCGAGGCGAGCATGGCCACCCCTGCCAGGGCTTGCCACCAAGATCAATATATGACTAACACATTTTTATAGGAAACGCTCGGGGCAACAAGTCTGCTCAGCAGCTCCCTCCACCTCACAGCCGTCAGCTCCCACCCTGCCGGGCTTGGGGGTGGAGGCGACAGAAAAGTCCCCAACCTACTCCATCCACCCACTTCTCTCTAGATGCATCACGCCCCGTTTGTGCCTGGGTGCTCCCCAGGTGCACCCAGCACTCCGGGCCAAGGAAGGGCTCCCGGGGGGCTTTGGAAGGAGGCACCTGCCCCTCCTGCTCCCCCGCCGAAAGCACAGGCAGCCAGTGTCGTCAGACCGAGACCTTTTCCCCCGCAGCCTGCCGTGCCAGAGTAAATGTTGTGAAGTCCATTCTGGGACCTGGCTGGGGACCAGGAGGCTGCTCTGGCTACAGGTAACAAGAATTGCAGCTCTCGGGAACATATGGTTTACATGAAACTAAAAAAAGATCTACAGCTTTTGACATGGTATTGCTTCTCTGCGATATGTCATTACAAAAAGGCAATGAGAAAGGAGAAATTTAAGTAAAATCTCTCTCTGCTAGCTGCAAACTGTGGCAGAGCAGCCTGGCCCGGTCAATAGGGAAATTTGTTCAGAGGGGATCAAAGAATTCAAAAGTGTCCCAGAACACATAGCTGATGAGATCCTGGGGAAAGGGATGGCTTGTGAAGCTTCTGCTGCTGGCATGTGTCTTCTGGACAAGAACAAATGCTTAAAAAATAAAATCCTTGCATTTGCTCTTTTAAGAGATGTCCCTTAGACTACAATCTCCTCTCTCCCCTTTTTTTCCTTCATTCTAATTCCAGAAGCACCACAGGATCTGGATTTTGTCAGGGACAGTGCCGTTGGGGAGCGGTGCAGGCAAACCCACGACCCACACACATGCTTCATCACAAGCGATGGGCTTGCAGGGGCCAGGACCCTCTAACCAAGGAGTAAAGGAGAGATATCAGCTTTTCAGGGGGCAAAAAGGGGGGAATTTATGCAAAAAGAATAGAGGCTTGGTTTTGATATTCCTGGCATCTACATTGCTGTTCCACATTTACACCCTCGCAGCCGAGATCAGGCTCCAGGGTAGAAGGAGTGGGAGAAACAAAACAAAATCAAAAAGCCAAATGCTATTTTGTTTCCTGCCAGAGCTGAACAATCTTCAAAATTTCACTCTGTGGGGAAGCAGCTGAGCTTTTCAAACCCCTCTGAACAGTCAAAAAGGGGAGGAAGGGAAAAAAAAGGAGGCAACATGCTGAGACTCAGCACAGGTTTGGGGATCCTGCCGAGCCTCAGCACGTCCCCGCTGGGCTGGGAAGCGAAGGGGATGTTCAGAGCTCCCTGAAGTGAGGTTGTTTGGCAGGACGGTGGACATGCCAAGCACCAGTGCCCAGCCCCTGACATGCCTGCGAGGTCGGTGGGCTTTGCACGCTCTCGGTCCCCGCTCCTCTCCCCGCCTTTGCACCCGGGCAGAGCAGATTTGGGATTGTGCTAAAACAGCTCCAGAGATCGTGAGATCCCCTACACATCACCAGGTCCTTCCCATCCCTAACAGACATAAAAGTGACTCACACACCAGGTGATTTCAGCGGTTGTGCAGAATTTGGCTGCTTCTTATAACTACCTGTGGTACATGTAGAGCTGCAGGGTTCATGGGAGGAAAGCTTCCACCTGTACATGTCAGCAGCACTCACACCTTGGCCCTTTCTTAACAACTTCAATCTGTTTCTAGCGATAAGCAAACAAAAAAAAAAAAAAAACACAAAACAAAACAAAAAAAAAGGCATTTACAAGGCGAGCGGTGATAGGCCACGTCAGACACACACATCTGCCAGCAGGCTGCAGTTCGGTTGGGTTTGGGTTTGGGAGGGGATTTGCTTTGTTTGGCGGTTGGGTTTGGTTTTTCTGATTTTTTGGGGTTTGTTTGTTTGTTTTAATTGATTTGTTTTATTTCACAACATACCTGTCCTGAGCCCCAAGTAGAATCCCCAGCCCGGTTAGAGGCAGAGCTTCCACTGTCTAGAAATAGAGAGAATGGGATAAAAATACCCACAAGTAGAAACAGTTCAGAATTTAACAAAGTTTGCATTTTCTGCTCAAATACACCTGGCCCTCGGCATACAGTGACTAAAGGTGCAGTATCTCCTCCCCTGTGTCTCTAGGGCCAGGCACGCCGACTCGTGCCACCCAATGCAGCAGAGCTTTTGGCTGCTCAAATCTCAGCAGCTCACTCCTTCCGAAAGCCAACACGTGGCACAGGAGTTTATCAGCTCGCTTCTCAAAGCACAGCCTGCTTTTAAACACCGAGGCATGCCATTTGCCTACCCGCTGCTTTTGCCACTCTTGTTTTGGTTTGGTTTACTTTGTTTTATTTTAGGCAGGTAATTTGCATCTCCTGTATCCACGCTGTGCTCAAACACGTAATGCCATCGGGAAAGGAGTAACGGAGTCAGCCTGGTGTACAAAAAAGCATTCGTCAAACCAAGTATAACAGCTTCTCCCACTTCAGTGCATCCTACGTGCTATGAGGTTATAACACATCAGGGATACTGCACCTTTACAACAAAAGGCTTCAATTCTGTTCTCATACCTTTGTTCAAACCCTTGAAACAGCTACACTGAAATAGCGTACAAGGTTGTATCCTGAAATCCAGTTGTCTCTGGCCTGGCAAGATATGCAGCTTGTATGATTTCTAGGCAGCAGAAGCTCTGAAATTGCCTTATTTAGTTGTTCCTAAGAAAAAGTTCAGGTCCAGTCTATCAAATCAACCTTTAAAAGGACACTGTTGAGAATCCAGCCATTTCCTTTCAGACCCACCCTCCTTCCACCGCCAGCACTGAGCGTCCAGAAGGAATAAAACAACAACAATCTCATTTTCCCTGTTGATTTTGCCTCTGTCAGTTTGGCAAATGGTCGCTTCCTGCGTTTGAAATGGAACTGAAATGAATGTAACTATTTTTTGCAGAAAAATAACAATCTCAGCTCACTATAAATAGTGCTTTATCTTTCAAAACAGCTCTGCCTGGGGACCCACATCAGCCCCTGATCCCGACTCAGCCCCGGCTGCTGTCAGTGTGCTGCCTGCTGTCACCCAGCCAGGAGAGGGCTCACAAGATGACAGTTTTCAGTAAGATCCATTAAAACATAGTCAACATCTGCTTTTTGTACTTTCATTTGCCTGGAAAACAGGGTATTACCCAGATCCTCTGGTCTACACCCTGCTCTCTGAGGCATCAAAGTAAACACCAAGTTATCCTGTGACCAGGACTTCTCTCCCTTGAATGGGAAAAATAATCTTCAAAATAAGCTTTAGAAAAATCTTTCAACAGTGTCCCTTTAATGCATGTGATCATAAAGAGCTTCTTCTACGCATAACGAGGTCGCAGGGACAAGTTCTTTTCCGATAAATCAGGCATTTGGTCATAGGGCAGGATTTAGCTCTCTTACCATTTCAAGCAAAGACAAAACTGTCATTTTGTTCTCCCCTAAATGCAAACAGTAGCACTTTGTCCCACAAGGCTAGTAGGCTTTTCTCTTTTCATTTATTTTTCCTCTTTATTATGAGCTTTATAATAAAGTCAAGTTTTTTCTTCCCTGCCTGCACTTTGCTTCTGCTTTTCGAGCAAGCAAGAGCACCAGAAATTAGCACCAGCCCCTCACCCCTAGCTGAGGTCTGGGCCGCCCATCTTCCAAAAACAGTTCCCATAGCAGAAGGCTAATCCTAACAAGTGCACACAAACACCACAGATCAATATCCAAAGGCCCTGGGCTCACATTTCTGTGTCTTATTTCAGTTTTTATTTTTAAGCAAAGGGGGAAACTTGTGGCTCCTGTTGCAGGATCAGCCCTGGCTGTACACCGCAGCACAGGCATGGAAGGAAGGATGAAAAGAGTGGCTGTACCTGCCCTGGCACACCACAGAAAGGTTTTAACTGCTGCAGGAGAGGAAAAGCAGCACCGCATCCCTACCACGGCACAAGAGCCACCCACTCGTCCCCATCCCAGCAGGGCTTGTTCCCAGAAAGGAAACACAATGCTGGTGCAAGGTGCTCCTATAACTGGATAACTCCATCCACACTAAGAACTACAACATTTTAGAAATAAATATAATGCCCCACCTCTAACCAACCCCGTTCTCTGTGTACAAACTGGCTGGTTACAGTCTGCAAAGAGATTATCTTCCCTTGCTTGTTCATTGACAGGGAATGAAAATGAGCAAAAAGCCACCATCCATCCCAAACTGACCCTAGGAAAGATTTTGGAGGTTTCAAGGCCAAGCCCCTGCCCAGAATTAGGTTGACCCAAATAAGAGACTGGGCCCCCCCAGGGCCTTGCACAGTCCAGTTGTGCCCATCTCCAAGGATGGAGATCCCCACCTTTCCCCACACCCAGGGCGAGAGATTTGCCCTTGAGCCCCATCGCCATTTCCTTCAGCGCAGCTTCTGGCTGCCCCCTCTGCCTCCCTCCCTCCTGGAGGAACAACTCCAATCCCCAGTGCTCTTCACATGCCTCGTGCACAGCCCCTGACATGCCAAACCCCAAACCGCATCCTGCTGTGTTGGGTGCCAGCAGGAGCTTTAACCCTGGCCTCAGTGAGCTGAGCTGGGGCTCCACATCCATCCTTCCCACCCAGGAGATACAGATTAGTGATGAGCATTACGATTGCAGCTGGGCTCGAAGTAATAAATAAGAAGTTGGGGGAAGCGATAAAGGCCTGGGCACAAGCAGGCTGTCCCAAAACAGTCCCTTCTCTCCCAGCCCTTGGAAGTGAGGATCAACCATCCCGGCAGTGGTGGGAGAACAGCTGGCCCCTGAGCCTGCAAACATGTCCAGCTCCCCCTCTTCCACAAGTGCCCACCCATGCAGATGCTCTAACTGTTGACGACATTATGGGAATTTCTGAACTGTTGGGGAGGACAGCAATGCCTCTTGAAATGAGGTGCAAGTCATTTTGTTGCCTTTTTTCCTTCCCCACTCTGTTTTATTTTATTTTTATAAAACTACGTGCCTCCAAAGAGCATGTTGCCTGCACTCCAGTTGCCCCACACCTGCCTCCACTGGCCTTTCAACCGTCCACCCTGGTCCCACAGCGAGGGATGGAGCAGTAAGGAGCTGAGCATCTTTCAGCCCAGGCTCTAGCCCTAGCTGGGCCTGGAAACAGCCTTTTGGCTAGTGCAAAACTTTTTTGGATATTAATGTTTAGATCTGAAAAGTTCATATTTTATTCTAGAAAGAGGGGTGGAGAGAGAGTGAACAGTGTAGAACAAAACCAAGGGAAGAAGGGAGGGGAAAAAAAAAAAAAAGGCAATGCTGGGTATCCTTTCTGAAGGCGTTTAAATCCTTGCCCTGTGTTTTCAATAGATGGGCAGCCAGGGATAGTACAAGTAGATTTTTAGCATGAAAAAAAACATGCCCTGGAGCTACTGACAGTCTTTTGTGGTTGTCCTGTAATAGCCAAGCTGCTCTGAAATTTAAAGCATGTAAAGGTCCCTCTATTCCCAGGAGGTAGGAAAGCACCAGCCCCATTTAACAGCTACTGGGAGAGAGGTTTGGGCTACAAAGTGCCAGGCAAGGCCACCCAGGGAGGACGCCAGGGACCAGGGGAGCCCCAAGGGGCAGGGCAGCCCCTTCCTCGCCCCCGCGGCACGGTAAGGCAGGGGAGCTGACGGCGCTGCCCTCGCCTGTCAGAGCATTAATGAAATGCTTGTTTTGGCAGCTGAAGGCAAAGTTTCCAAGCCAAGCCACGAGAAGAGATGATAGACTCAAGCCCTTGGCAATGTTTTACTGTTCGTATCATTAAGAAGTTTGTTGATATGTTTGGCTGCATGGACATTTTCTTTAGCATAAGCTAGTATAAGTTCTGGGTAAATACAGCTAACTATAACCAGAGAGCATCTGCTCAGTGCTTTACATCTTTTGAAGCTTGGCGTCATAACCCCTGTTTTACTGGTGGTGAGTGACAGAAGAGTCAAAGCAGCAGAGCCAGGAGGAGACCGCAGAGGAGGTTTGGGTGCCATGGACCCTGAAGAAGCCATGGGGGGTCCACAGCAGGACCCAAATTCACAGCTGTGGGTCTGGGACCTGGATGACTCCCAAGGCCCCAATTTCAGCTCAAGCTCTCTGGGAATTCCTCTAATGGGTGGCTACACACAAAGGAGGGCTAATTGCCTCTCTGCAGCAATGGTCCCAGCTCAGTCTCCACCTGCCCACACTGGGAATGAGCTCCCATGGGCTAGGAATAAATAAAGGCTGCTCCCCAGACAGCCCAGGGGCACCTCAAAACGCCCTAGACACAGACTTGAGGAAAAGCACTAGCCTGAGCCTGCCTTTCACCCAGCCCATCCTTGACTGGATAAACTCTGCTGCTAAAGACAGAGTAAGCCCTTTTTTTACCTTCCCACTGTATTTTATAATACTACCACTCCAAGCCAGCCAGTAGAAGGAGTCCTGAAGTGACGGTCCTAATATCAATCAGTGAGATGCCCCTGGAGAGCTTTTGATATTCTTGTCAAAGCAGTGACTAATTGCCCTGCATCTATCAGGGCAGCAAACCCATGCTATTTCTGCAGGCCCTACAGAGTAGCTCCTCTTGTCCTGCTCCAGCAGTAGGGTGAGCAGGCAGGGCCGTGCCTGGGAGCTGCTGGAAGCATGTTCCTGCCAACACAAGTGAGGAGGATCATGGGTGGCAGCCAACAGGGTGGGCAAAAAGGGGCCAGGTTCAACTTCTGCTGCATCATTACTCGGAGGAAGAGGCCTGGGGAATCAGAGCAGGATGTCAAAAGAAGGCAAAAGGAAGAGGCTTCTTTATGGCCATGGCTCTGATAATAAGCTATGACAGGCAAAGAGCAATGCACGAGCTGACAGCCATTGGCATGGTCTTGCCAACATCCCTGCTACGGAGGGCAGCAAGTTTTCCTCTTGCTTAAATGCTCTCTTGACTTTCTGCTCCCAAACCTCTGGCCCTTCCTTCCACATTAACTCCCAACAGAAGGCTTTCACATATATTATCCTACCCTCCACTTACCTTCTGGCTTCCTAAAGCAGATAGAAACCATGCAATGGGGTCTGCATTGAGTACAGGGCTATTATGAGTTGAGAATAGCAATAAATAGGATTTGCTATAATTAAAGACACATCTCCTACCTTGCTTTGTGGGTTCTGTTCCCTTGAGGACTGCTCATGGTGACAGTGGCATTTGAAAATGGCATCTCTGCAGACGTGTTGATGGCTTTGCCATTGCTCAGCTCCATGTAAGTGCTATTAACAGTGTAGGTCACAACGCCATCTGTGTCCTCATAGTCAACATAGAGGCTGTCGATGTGTGACCCCACGGAGTTGATTGGGTCTCCCTGGGCAAAGATGCTGTTCATGGTCATGTTCAGCACCAGCTCCTTGGAGTCCGAGGTCTTGTCCAGCAGCTTGTCCGTGATGGCATTCTCCAAAAGGAATTCCCTGGAGGTGAACCTGGGGTCGAAGTCTCTGTCGTCATGGTCTGTCTGGTAAGTAGACCTGGTTACGTTTGAATCTAGATTGGAGCCAACAGGGGGAAACAACAGTGACAACCACAAAATGCATTTAGGCTGGGAGGCGAAAGCAGCCCGGAGCAGCGGGGGCACGCCGGAGCCTGAGCAGCTGCCCGGGAGGCTAGAGGCAGGAGTTGGGGGCTTGGGGAGGGGGAATCTCAGGGGGTTGTACCCCTTTGAGAAGGGTGTGCAGCTCTGTGGGTCTCATCCTGCTATCGCATGGCCAGGGGAAAGCTCAGCACCTGCCAGCACTGCCCCAAGCAATAGCAGAGGTCAGAAAGGAAGATGCCCTCCTGGCCCCAGAGCCCATGCAGCCATGCTGGGAAAGCAATCAAGGCAGTTTGGTGGTGGGATGCCCAAGGGACTGAAGTGGGAAGAAGGGTGCTGGGGGCTGTGGAGAGGTGGGAAGCGACAAAAGATATTGTGACAAGGAGTTTTGTGCACCCAGGGCTCCCTCCTGTCCTTGGCATGAGGCAAAGCATGGCAGGGCACCAGCAGGGAGACCTTACCCATGGCCACCCCCCCACCCACCAGAAACCAGAACCTGAAGGGCAAAGAGGATTTATGAGCAGAGATATTTTAAAGAACTTTCCAAGGTTTCCAAAAAACAAACCAGCAGAATCACCAGAGGTAGAAACAGAGCATTTCTCAACAAGAGCTCTGAGAAGCAGAACAGTGAGGCCCAAGTCTCCTCCTTACCTTGGGGTTGTTTGCCCTTCAGTTTTGGCTCACAGTCAATTGTTTCTGCTCTTTCATAGACCTCATTGGTTTCCTGACCTTTGCTCAAGTTTAAATCTTCCTCCGTGTCCTGCCTTCCAAACACCTGGTTCTCCAAATCTATTCTTTCCCTGGAGATTTTCCCAAAATAGGTTGCATTGTGCTGGATAAAACCCAAGGGCACGTCTCCATCGAATTCTCTGCTTTCTTCGCTATCTGACTCAGAGAAGGTGTAGTAGATGGGCTGCAGATTTTTTGAGTGTGGCTTCCTCAGGAGGGTGTATTCAAACGTGATGGATGGATTCTTGCCATTTTGATTCCAAACCTAGCAAACAAATTAAATTATTAGCGGATGCAGTGAATATATGGTATGCAAATCTTGTGATTCATCTTAGACTTGACAGTTGGTGACCATCTACTCTGTTATTTCCAATCTGCTTTCCATCACATTGCCAACTTCTTACAACTGGAGCCCAGCATGATTTGCCAAGTGTTATTTGGCAGCAATGCCCTGGGGATTAGCCCAGCTCAGGGACTGGGTGCCACAGGCCATGCTTCTTCCTCCTCTGCTGCTGAGCAACCAGAGACTTGGGAGAGGCACTTCAGAAGATATTGACCATTACTTGAAAACCCATTTTTGTGGCTTTATGAGGAGCATGCACATACCCCCTTCATCTACCACATCCCCACTGGGGATGGCAACTCACAGCTGATGCACTAAAACCTCTTACAGGTCTAATGCTTTATAAGCACCCAAGCAACCATTCCTTCCCCTTCCAGAGGAGTCTGGGGCTACATGAAAGATGGCAGGAGTTGGGATCTGCTGGTTGCCCAGAAAGTTAAATGACTTTTCTTCATATGTCTAGTTTTAGACAGTTTGCTTCCAAGAAAGAGTTGATGTTTAAGTTTTGTGCACTCGTCTAAGCTATCTGGCTATTTTTACATTTCCTGCCAGGTAACTCAAAGATGCTAAGGAATAGAAGAGAAATCCCCCTGCAGTTCCTGAGGCATCTTCTTGCTGCAGAGAGAGGGGTTACCAAGCCCACGTTTGTTACTCATAGCCCTGCCTGCACCCGAGAGAACTGACGCAAATAAAATAGGTTCATGCAAGGAATTGGCACAGTCACTGCTCCCACTCCCCTCCTCAAGCTGCCCAGGAAAGCTGTGAAAGCATGGCAGGACTCTGCTCCCACACCCACCCATTCCTTGATCCAAGAGATTTTCCCTTCCCCATCACCCCCAGCCTTGCAAACTTGAAAAGTCAAAGCTCACCATTATATTCAACCCTTGATTTGTCGGTCCTTGTGCAACAATATACTCTATGCCAGTCTCATAAACATCCATGGGCCTGCGGTACTTGAACACCGTGCCTGCAATGTTGAAGTTCTTTGGACTGTCAACTTTGTAGTTCCCATTGAAGAAATAGTACCCAGCTTCGTCAGCCACAGCTTCAAATGAGAGAGAAAAATCAGTGCCATCACACATAAGAGCAGAGGTAAGCAATATTGCCACTTGTTCATTCAGAGGATAAAATTATTAGGGCCAGAGTAATTAGACAAATGTTTCTCCTACATTACAGTGCATTTGCCACTTATTTCCAACACATATCATGCAAGTATGTGCCTAGAGTTCTGGGCCATGCACCTCTCTACATCGCAAGCTCCTGGGTATGTGGCTAACACTAGCCCGTGGCTCCTTTCACTCTTAGCACTAGCACAGCATGAACGTTTAATAATCACAGCTCTGCAGACAAGGAGACTGTCAGATGGCCAACAGCAAGAGTTGCCTCCTTGGGAGCACCGAGCTGATGCCAACTGACCCAGCAGTGGCCCAAGACAGGTCATCCAGAGCTAGCCCAGGAACTGTACTAAATCCAGCTTTCCTGCACATGGCCATGAGCCTGTGAGGCAGCACAGCACCGTGGCAGAGAATATGCTTCCCTTGGGCAAGTCCAGATTTTTCCCACATTCCTCCTGAGCAGCTCTGCCACCTCCATCATGAGACGGATGGTGCAGCCACCAACGCTTCAGCGTGGCAACATGTAGGTCACATCTCCCTGGTGCTGTTGTCATGTGGCCATTGCACATTGCCCCCACGCAGGATAAGATCAAGGGGATCACAAGAGAGGTGAAGTCACTTGGTGCTCTGTAATCTGGCACCAGTGTGTTTGTCATACCACACTTGAAGTAGCAATAATATTGACTAACAGTTTCTGCATTAAAGCAATCTATACAGCCCAGGTGCTCAGGCTGCAGAGGAGAAACTCACTGGCTTAGACAACACAGTTGTGATTTACATTGACTATGGATTTAACTCATGTCTGCAATAAAACTACGCTCAGCTTCAAATTGGAAAAAGCATTAGCTAGTATAGGCATGCATTCTAGGGAAGTACCAAGAGGTTATACACACCCAGAACATCTGCAGATTTTTTCCGTTCTACTATCTGGATATCCCTTGCTCCAGCAGGAATGTGCGTTACCAGAGAATAGCCTATGGGAAACTACAGATTAATGAAAGGAACTTTGTAACAAATAATCTGAATGAAACACCCAGTAGTCAATACTGCAATGTATCAAGCAAATTGGCCTTGATCCAAAATTATTTTTAAGGAGTTATGGATTAAAAAATAATGTTGAAAACTGTTAGGCTGCAAACAGGATTTTATCAATTAAAGAAAATAAAAATGCGTGAATTCTACATCCTGGTTTATGGTGGAAAAACACAACCAAAAGGGAAAAAGGATGCGATCCTTCCATGCACAAATATCACATTTATCTAAACTGCTGTTAGAAAACATAACTGAAGACTGCTTTGTTAGCTAGAGAAGCTCTCCTGTGGTTTGGTACTGAGCTCTGTGCTAGCCAGTCTTCCCAAAATCCCAGCAAAAGTTTACGACTTCTTTCTCCTCTGACTCACCTTTGCTTGGCACTAGGTAAGTAATGGGACAAGTCCTAAGGCCACTGAAGTTCCTGCACCTTGTTCCATCTTAAACTGATCCTCAGAGAGCATTAATCATTATTCCTGAGTTAGATTGCTATATTTAAGACAAGTAGGTTCTGTTGCTTTACATCACACTAATTTTGGAAATCCCAATCTTTCAAAACTTCCTCGCTTCCTGTTATTACAAATCATTTATTTCTAGTCTTACTGGGCCATGAGAAAGAAGACTAAAATAGACGCCAGCCTCTTGCATAACCCTTTTGCACTACTCGGCATCAGAGACCTCAGGCTTCTGACAAGTGCCATGCTAAGTTACTGGTTTTCATTATAGAAGGCTTTCACGGCCCAAATTTACAAGCAGCATTAACACATGGAGAACACGTGGGAAAAACTGAAGCTGGGCAGTTGGTAAGAGCTGAAAACAATTTACCAAAAAATAAGCACATTTTAAAAATAGCCCCTTCGTACAAAAGGTCCCCAAAAGCCTTACCAAGATGAGAATTTCCTTTCCGGTAACTGCCGGTCACGTGAGTGCAGCTGCTCCCATCTCCTTGGCAAACACCACATTTATCCAAGGTGTGGGTGGAAAAGAGAATGCCATCACAGCCAATCGGCTAAAAAATGCACAAATAGAGTATTGAGGGTCAGGCAAATGTCGCACCCATTGTAATTTGCTGAATGCTACTAACAATATTTTTGCTATAATGTTTAACAACCTCACATTTTCCAGACACGCAAACCCCTCGGAAATCAGTGTATTTGCAGGATGTTCCATCCCGAGCCTGAACCATTAACTGTCTCTGACCATCCACAGTGGTGCAATGGAGGTCACAGGGCTTGCTAGAAATGTGAACATAGTCATCTAAGGGGAAAGGATATAAAGATATATTCAAAACAGCAGAAACACAATAACTTTCATCCTACCAAATGTCAATGAATCTCTGCCAAGCTAAACAACAGCAGCAACAGCACAATTGCACAGCAGCCAGCAGCTCAGAAGCTACCATCTCCTGCGTTTCAGGCTGGACAGGAGATTGCACTTCTGACAGCGTGACAGCCCACTGTTGCAAACCTTTGCACAGCCAGGCAGGCCTCTCTGCTGCCAGGAACAGATGCACCCAGCGATGCCCAGTGATCACTGACATCAGCCCAGGGGATGCACTGAAGCAGTAATAGCCACTATCCTGTGCAAGGACTTGCAGTAGTGATATATGTACACATTACACAAAAGCAAATGCACGTTCACATATCAACATTTAATACATGAGTTAAATTAACATAGGTATATTATTATAAATGCATATACAAGTAAGACTATATTCAAAACCATAGCACCTTAAAACATAAGAACTTTTCCATAAACCATCACCCAAATCGGACTTAATTCGCCCTTTGATTGCTGTAGGCAACTGGCTGGCTGCATCCACTGGCACAGTAGTCCCACATTTTAGAATATCCACAGGAACCAACTGACAAATTCACATTTGCATCAGAAACCCAATGCTAAGTGTCGAACTCTTCCAACTAGTGAGCGGTTATATACCCACTGGCCTGCGTGCCCAAGCAAGACAGCATCATTGTCAAAACATTATTCTGCAAATCCCCCAGGAGCCACGTGAACGCCTGCTAAAAAACAAAACAATTCACTGTAACTATGCTGACGAAGCATCTTGAAGAGCAAATACGTTTAAAGAAATTGTCACCTTGCCATAGGAAAGGGACAAAAGCAGGCAAGTAGCTATAGCTAACCAGCCTGCCATGGGCCGAGTTCTACCACACCGACCCTGCCAGGGCTGGCGAGACAGGGGCTTGTTTCACAGAGAAGAAGGCAACCAGTAATTTCATGAAGCATAACTGTTCCTAGGCATGCAGAGAGACCCCTAAAATAAGAAAGTTGCATTAGAACCCATCCCTATTTTTAGACACCCAAATGGCACTGTGTGTCTGAAGAACCAGCACTCGGGAACCTCCTCGGTTCCCAATAGCTCTAAAAATTAGTCATTATTTTTGTGCAATGCTTGATTTTGATGGGAGCTAGGTGTCTAAAAATTAAATAGAATCTCAGTCTCTGACTCTTAAGTTCTCTGCAGTTCTGTGTCGCTCATCCCAGATGACCAAACTGACTGACTGCATCTCAGTGACATTCGACAGAGCACATGAAGGGTGTGGGAGTGAACAAATGTCACCAAAATACAACGCAGCCAGTAATGGCCCCAGCTCAAAGGACACTTGTTCAGGTGAGCCGGACTCTCCCTGACAGCACAGTCCATCACCCCATGCTCTTGCATCCTCCTCCAGCCTTTCAGCTCTCTGGTCCTCAGGAGCTGTGACCAACACAGGCTACAGCCATAAATTCATGTTATTTTATTTTAAGCTACCCTGCAGCTGCAAAATGCACCTTTGAACTTGGGAGACAGCTGATTGTGTCTCTGAAAAATCACTTCAGCAGAGGAGAAGCCTTCCTGCAGGCTATAGCATCATAACTATCAAAATATTTTGGCTAAGAATTATGAAACACACAAAGAATGTCTTGTTACCAGGATATAAAGGTTTCCATTGATACGTTCTGCCGTTATACACATGGGAGTTAAATGATGAACACTGCTCCTCTCGAAAGCTCCTTCCGTTCGCAGGGCACTCCTAGAATGGGATACATTAATATCCTGATGAAAACAAAATGCGGGAAAGGTTTCTGGCACATCTCAACTGGCTGCAAGGAGTGTTTCCATCGCCTGCCCCATCAAGAGCCACATCCTTCTCCTCCCACTGCAGGGGAAATCCCCTCGGGAGATGGTGCAAGAACCACCCGCTGGGTTTTATGGCCCCCAGCACAGGCAAAAGGCCCAAAGCCCTGACAGTGGTGATGGGCACCAAAGAAGGGAACTCCAGTTGCTTGGAGGTGCTACAGGACAAATGGTGTCCGCTCCCCGAGGGGCCCAGAAATGCCACTGCACAAAGCGAGCATGACTTTTCACATTTTGTATCGAGTGTTCCCGATGAGAAAAAGGATATCCTTACTTGTACTTTGCAGAGTTGGTATCTTTTGGATGTTCCAGTGCAAGTTTTATTAGCCAGCCCACTCACTGACTTTCTTCTGAATAAAGAAATGATGGTTAGATAAGGGTCAGAAACCCTCCTTTTCCTTTTTTTAAATATATTTGTCCCCTGCTTCTGTAAGATCAATCTCCATGTAGCAGAGCCTCACAGAGATCTATCAGTCTCACTTGGAGTTGATAGCAAAGATGTCTCTGGCTTCATTACCTGCAGCATCAACTATTCTTATCACAGCATCCTAGGGGGGGGGATCATGGGGACGAGGGCCTGGGGACAAGGTTTGCAAGGTGCCTTCTGGCAACCACACAGCCCGAAGAAGGCAGAGTCATGCACAGAGCAGCCAGGATCAGCAGGTCCCCAACCAACCCTGCACCACGGTGTCCTCGCTGCTGTGCCCAGAGCCTTGAGAAGGGGTTTACGCTACATCTGCTGCCCGTCTGCACTAACCCCCGCAGGAGAAACCTCAGGGGCAGCACAGGAATAGCTTGGCTGGCCCTCCCAGCAGGGATGTCCTGAGCACAGCATCCTCCTGGCAGCATGCGTGGGGCACACTTACCTTCTGCACAAGCAGGGTTTGCCAGACAACACCACCTTTTCACCAGTGCTTATCTATTGAGCGATGACCTCCTGGATCAAGTCTACCTCCAGCAAGCTGGAGCTCCCCACACCCTGGCAGGCGGGCGCCGTACCTCTGCCGCAGGCAGTGCCTCTCCTGGGACTTGACGCCTCCCCCACAGGTCCTGGTACACGCCGTCCACTTGGTCCATTCGCCCCACCAGTACGCCGTGACGTCCGCCCCTTCCTCCAGGCTGTTGGAGGTCTGAGTCAGGTCCTGCTTGAAGCATCAGGCAAGTGGAAGAGAAGCAGCAGTCAGCATCTGCACCGCAGAGGGACCGAGGGCATCCCCTGGCCAGCCTGCCCTGAGCAAACAGGGCATTTCTTTCTCATCCGAGGTCAAGTCAGAGACTCCCGTCTTGCAAGAAACCCTGCATTTTTCCAATTGTGTTTTCATTACAAATTGGAACGAAAGGGCAATATTTGGGATTCCTCGGGAAAGAAAATGTTCATTGTTTCGCTCAGTTGACAAAACCGAGCTCCCAAACAACCCTAAACCCTCTAGGTATTTTGGTGCTCTCTGTCTCTTGCTCCACAGTGAATTCAGGGAAGCTGAAGAGCCAGTTGCAGCCAAAAGCTTCACCGAAAGCTTAAGCAAACCCTTGCAAAACTACTCTGCAGCAGAACAAGTCAGCGGATGCTCGCAGGTTGGAGGAGCCCACGTGCTCTCTTTGCATGTCCAGTTTTGTCACTTCAGGAGAGTCCTTGACACCTTGACCTCCCACCCTGCAGCCACTGCAGGCAGTGGTGTGACCGTGCACCAGAAGGCAAAGGAGCTGCTCCACTGGCATTGTCACCACCACAGGCCCGTGCTCGATAAGGCATTTGTGTCCCTTCACAAGGGGCACAGAACCTCCTGGGGGATCCCAGCTGTTGCTCGTTGCAGGGCAAGGGATGTATTTTTCCCCTCCAGAATCACCTGCTCTTTAGGGGTGTTCTATTAATTCTGTATTTACTGGCAAAGGGATAATAATTTTCCATGCAAAGTAAATGAAAACTCCAACCACTGCAGGGACCGAGGAAGCGGTGCTCACCCAAAAGCAGGGCATGGCCTTTCAGAGCCCTGGCAATGATCTGTGCTCGCTCTTAGCCATGGAAGGTACAACTTGGGTTAAGCCCAGACTAAAGAGCTAAACCAAGTCATATGTCCTCACACTTGCTGGAGACCTGATGCCCTGCAAGTCCCGAGGGTTACCCAGCCCACACACTGTACCTTTTTAAAGCCCAGAGACCCCCACCCCAGCAAGGCAACGTGCTTACCTGAGCTATGACAAAGACAACGTTGCCCACGAGGAGAAGGGCCAAGGTGCCTTTCAGCTGGGATCGCACACTGATGAAGATGCTGCTCCACCTCCACTTAGGTATCTTCATCCTAGAAAGCAACCAAACACTGTGCTAAGCAAAACTCCCATCCAGCCCCACCACCCGTCAAGAACAGGGGCTGCTTTGCAGCCTGGGTTACACAGCACGGGTCTTCTTCAGCATTCCTGGTCAGCTAAGTGACACCAAGCAACAGTGACTGCAAGGGCTTGATCCTGGAGTTATATTTAATTAGCAGAAGCATTAGCACTGTACAGGTTCACATCCCATCTCGGTGGCTATCTTCCAAACCACAGCTTTGCACTGGCTCCCAGTGGCTGCACCTGATACCACCAGTGCAAGCTGAGGCTCCAAGCCTGTCTTGGAAGAGAATGTGGATTACATCAAAGCAAGCGTTGCACAAGAGGCAGCGAGTAACAAGAAGTGTCCCTGGTTCTACAAAAGCAGTGCATTTAAATATCCCCCTTTACAGAACTGGTCCTAGAAGAATGAGATGAAAAGCTTCATGAACAAAAAAATGCAATTAACAGCCATTATTTTTCTTTTTTTTTTTTTTTTTTAGTTTGTTCCACTCTAATTCCCACCGATTCCCATGGAAGAAGCCTGTTCTTATAGAAGAGAAACCACCCACAATTAAAGAGTTGAAATGAAGTATCCCAAGTGTCAGCCTTTCATCTCTTTCTCCATCTGCCTCATGAAAGAGAATAACCCAGAATGGCATTTTCTTAAGTAAAACCCAGCTCGAAACCACAATACGTTTTATTGTGAACCTCACTGCAAGAGCCAGAAAGGAGCAGGTTTCAGGAAATCATGCTTCCAGGCAATCAAAGCAGCTCATGTCTGTAAGAAAAAGAAAAAAAAAAAAATATTCTCCCCTAAGCTAATTTCCCTTGAAAAGTAACTAGGCTGTATCTCTGTGAAGTAGGGAGATGGGAGAGGTGCTGCTCCTGGGGAGAGGGGACAGGACTGCAGACCTGCAGCATAAAGAGCTTCTTTCCTACCCCTTTCTTTCTTCTTGCAAGGGCTTTTGTAGGAGTTTTGGAAATGCAGAATTGCCGGCAATGCCAGCCAGGCTTTGGCATCTGGCTTAGAGAAATTACCCGGGGGGCTTCCAAGTCCCCAACTCTGCTTTGCGGTCGCCCCAGGGTAGGGGTCCAGCATGCAAAAGCCACTTTCCAAGAGGCAGATCCACTGATTAATGGAAGCCCAGAGCGCTTGGCTGGGGATCCCGGGGACAGGTGGCTGAGACTTGCCTTACACTTGGTTTTCATTAAGGCTTCCAGACACTTCTGACTCAAAGCCAATAACAGAGCTCGCTCAGAGTTTATCCTAGAGTCGGTCAGGGCTGCGTGTTTAAATAGAAGAAAAATTAAAGCAGAGGAGGGAATGGGGAGGGGAGGGATGTCGCCGACAAGCATCGCGGAGCCGGTGCCGGAGGGAGCCCGTTCCCCAGCCCTGCCCGCGGCGGGAGGGCGATGCCGGAGCGGTGGGGGGGGGGGGGAACCGGGTCTGGGGTGCGGGGCAGGGGCCGGTGGGGCCGCGACCCCCCCCCCCCAAACCTTCCCCGCGGGGCCGGGCCGGGCCGTACCTGGAGGCGGCGGGGCCGGTGACGGGACGATGCTCCGGGGCCGGGAGGTAGAAGAGGCGGCGGGGAAGCAGCAGCAGCGGCCCCAGACGCTCCCTCCCTCCTTCTCCGACTTCAAAGGGCAGCCAAAAGCGCCGGGGCTTCCAGCGAGGAGGAGCCGCCGCAGTGGCTCCCCCCAGCCCGCGCCGGCCGCTCTTATAGCGGCGGGGGGGGGGGGGGGTGGGTATGGGGGGGGGGGGGGTGTGGGGTGTGGAGGAGGTGGGGGGAGCGGGCGGAATTCGCACCTCTCGGCCCGGGATGCCCCCACCCCGGTTAACCCCTCGCCTCCCCCGGCGCCGGCCCGCGGCCGCCAGCCGGTTTCCTGCGGCGAGGCCGGGGGGGGGGGGGGGGGCACAGGCGGGGGGGGGGGAGCCCCGCACGCATGCGTCCCCGCCGCCTCCCGCCCGGGACACGCAGCGCCGGGCACCCCCCCCCCAACTCCCTTCGATCGCCCCGTTTGCCCTCGGGGAGATGCTGCGCTCACCCCTCCACACACCCCCCCCCCCCGCTTCCCGATGGGGGGACGGTACCTGCTGCCCCCCCCCCCCCCCCCCCCCCCCGCCCAGGTACAGAGCGAGGTGGCCAAAATGCTGCCGGTAACCCCGCAGGCACCGTGCGGCCGCAGCCTGGCTCTGGAAGTGTAGGGAGGGCTGGCTGGCTGCGGTCTGCCAGGTTTTTAATTGCCTTTTTTTTTTTTTTTTTTTTTTTTTTTCGGAAAAAAAGATAAACTAAATCCCCGCGATCCTGTGTTTTTTTTTGCTGTCATTTGCTAAGGCTCCGTGTCAGTCGCGCGGGTTGAAACAGTTTTCTGCCACGCAGGAGAACTGAGGTGGTCAGAAAATGGGCTTGGTGCATGTGAAGAGCCATTTTGGATGAGAACAGTGCCCCTGGCTCGGTGACAGCCGTGCACGTATTGTATCTGATCTGTGTGTGTGTGGCAGAGGGAAAAGCCTGTGCCATAAAGAAGGACACGGTTATACAGTGTATATGTAAACTATATATGATATATGTGGTCTGTTCTCTGCAGCCCCGAAGTGCAAAAAGTGGTTGACAAGACACCTCACCTACGTGGTGACATGCGATCCTCCCACACACGCATCCCAGCAGCTTTGAGCAGCCCACCTGAACCAATTCCTTCGTCGCACCAGAGATGCTTCAGCTCAAGCTTTTTCTCCTTCCCCTCTAGACCTGCCCCACACAGGGCAAAACCAGTGCTCCCAGCAGGGCATTGCACCCCAGCACCGGCTCTGCACCCAAGGCGATCACTGCAGGTTATCATGGTTATTGCCACTGGCTGCTCCTGGCCCTTGGTGGCAACGTTCAGCCCTGTCAGCATTAGCCATGGGCCAGGAGCTCCCATCTGCAGGGCCTCGGGGTGTGCTCCAACCCCACCGCGGGGCACGGATCCCTGCACAGCTCCCAGCACCCTGCGGGAATCGCTGCGGGGCTGTGGTGGTGTTAATTTGGACCCAGTCCTCCCAGGGATGGCTTCGTGAAGCTGAGCAGAGAATCCATCCCAAAAAATTTACATGGGAAATGAAGTCTCCTTTTCTGTTTGGCTAAATGTCTGCCAGCCTGTTTTAATTTATCCAGCTAGGTTGATTTGCAACTTTCAATTTTCCATCGGTTGGCTGTGACCAGGACACTGGGAAAATTTAGGACTTGAGTTCACTCAACTTCTGCATTTCTAAATATCCCAGCCTGAGACACGCAGGAGAAAACCCTTTCCGTTTTGGAACAACCAGGAGGGAAAAGTCTGAACACGAGAGGTTTTAAAAGCATCAAAATATTTCACATTGAAAACGCCAGAGCAGCTTTGGACCGTGTGAGCCCCAATGTCCCCCCAGTGCTCCCACCAGCCCTGGGGTTTGGCAGGAGGTTGCACCCCAAGGACACCATCCCCTGGTGTCCCCGCACCCCATCCTGCTGCAAGGATGCCCTGGGGCTGGGGAGGACTGGGAGGAGGGAAGAAAGTGGGAAGGGGGAGGAAGGCTGGGGGAACCGGCAGCAGGAGAGACTCATTCGGTCTCTGTGCTTCACCAAAAGTTCATCAAAGCCAAAGAATTTTTTTTTTTAATTTTTTTATTTTTTATTTTTTTATGAAACAGTTGAGATGACTCAGCGGTTTCTGACGCAATCCCCGTTTCATCGGAAAATTCCTAACCAGCTCCTAGTGGCAACTGATTGCTCCCATAAATCACACAGTGTTATCCCTGGCTGCAGCGGCGCGGCTTACGCAGCCCCGGCCCGTCCTCGTGAAATCAGCAGGAGCGATGCCATCACCTCAGTGGGAGCAAAAACAGCCCCAAAACCAAAACGCACCGGCGAGCAGATCCAAAACACAGCTGCACCTCAGCCAAACCCCACAGCTCCAACACGGGGCTGGACCGACCCCAGCTCCCACCACCCCCAAACCCCCAGGGTCAGTGCTTCCCCCAAAACCCCGGGGCTGCGGGTGCTGCTGCCAAGGCTGCCGGCGGGTACGGCATTAATCACCGACGGCCAGGCTCAGACGACAGAGTTTTTTATCTCCCAGTTTTTGGCATAAGCATTAGAAATGATTTGCAGATGTTATTTACTGCTTTTGGGCTTGGAGTAAATTGAGACAAGATGCACCTGCATGGACAGTGAGAGTCTTTCCCACCCAGGGACGGTCGCTGAGGGCTCGTGTTGGACTTTCCCAGGGAAATTTAGGATTTGGGTGAGGGTCCCTGAGCCAGCCCTGCTCCCTGCATCCCGCGCTTTGGCAAGGCAGACGGCAGTCCCGGCGCTGCGGATTCCCCCCCCGGCACTGCACAAGGTGGGCTCTGACCATGACAGCCACCCCAAGGGAATTGTGACAGCCGGCCGGCAGGCAGCTGCCAGGCTTTCCATCCCAAACCGGTGCCGTGCATAATTCAGAGCGCAAATAAAAGGAGCGACAGACACTCCAAAATAACCTCCTCCAGCCAGGGGAGAGTCGCCGGCGACTGGCTGCTGGTTTGGCCGGAGAAGTGCCTGCAGAGGAAAGGAGTTTCCTTGGCTGAAATGAGTTCAACAAAGTGCTGGGCTGGGCACTGTCGCTGCTCAGCGGGAGCTGGGGCTGCTCAGCCGAGCAGAGGCTCTCTGCATTTTGCAGGATCAGGCCCTGTCTCACCTAGGGAGGGGTGGGGGGGGATCCTTTTGCCAAAGCAGCCTTTGCTGAGGTGGAGGGACCCCCACTCTTGACCCGGAGTGGCGAGTAGTCGTAAGCTCCCATCCAGGCACAAGACATTGACCGTCTCGCTGTGTTCCCCGTCACGGGACACCTTCCCATCCTGACACAAGCACCAGCCCTTGGCCCCTCCGGATCTGACACCCAGCACCACCGAGCCCCACACATGTCCCTAGAGCAGGCCCTCCACCGATGATGTACCACAGGACCTACTCCCAGTGAACCAGAGCCATGGCCCAGCCGTAGGCTGTGGTGTTCCAGCACCGCTTTCCCAGCGGAATTACCCCTTTTCTGGCTCAGCCCTCGTGCCAGCACAGCAGACAGGATGGCTCAGCCGTAGCCAGCCCCACCAAAACGCCTGCTCAGGTCCAGGAGAGCCAGTCTGGAGGAGAAGCAGGAGTGTGGTCTGGAGTTTCTTGGCCCAGGACCCCCCAGCAGCTTTGTCTTTGCTCGGGGATGAGACTACTAACTGTTTTTCTTCTTTTTTAAGTCTGCCTACAGAAGTGACCTATTTGTTCAACACTTCTGTGCAGCTACACACGTTATTTCCCGGCGAGCCCGGGGCCGTGTAGGCAGATTTAAGCCATCCACAGAGCGGGTGAGGTCCCTGCACAGCCAGGACATTTCCAGGGGAATCAAAATGTGGCAAAGCCTCCCAAAAAGTCCCTGGCAGCTAGCCCTACCTTCTTCTCAAGAGCTGTGGCTATGGCCTACCGCTGGGTAACTAAAACAAGCAAGAGGAGACCAAAAAAAGTGCCCTTTAGAGACAGTCCTAGTCCCTTGCAGAGTGACCTACGGCGCAGTGTTGGGCAAGGGACTTCATCCCTGCGTGCCTCCATGCAATGTGGATAGCAATGATTTATATCACGTTAGCATGAGGGTTTCATCCATGGAGATTTGAAAAATGTTGAGTCAAACTGAACAAGCCAAAGCCACCAAGTTGCTCTTGCCATCAGATTCCTATTAAAAGATACCTCTAGGCAGTTTGAAAGCCACAAGCGACCACAGTGACCCCAGATATGGTCATGGTCATAGTTTCAATGGCTTTAAAAGCCTCCTTATTCTCTTCAGATTTCTTTAACTTTAATTTTACCTGTCTCCAAAGAGTACACATCCCTGCAAGAACCTGGAGGAACTTCCAGACAAGTCACACTTAGATTGACATTTTAGCTATTCAAATATAAAAAAAAAAAAAAAAAAAAAAAAAAGTACAAAGCCCTTTCTTTTAATGGAATGAGTCTTGCATGGAAGTTGAGCAGTATTGTGCTGAGGGACATCAGCTATGCAGCACTGCCAACCACAGGCATTCAAAACTCATGAGTCAGACTCCCCAAAACCCTAAGACTGGTTTCGTTCCCTTCTGGATTTTGACCCTTGAAGCATCACAGCTTCAAGCTTTTCTCTTCTGAAAATTACATTTTTGACCAACGGGGCAAGAGCTGAGACCCTCACATCATCACTGGGCTCTAGGAGTCAAGACTGTAAAAAAAAAATAACATTAAACACCATGAAACGAGCAATAAACCCCTGCACTGCCTCCCCGAATTTGGCAGTGGGACTGCCAAAGGGTACCGAAGGGTATGAGCAATGGAAACCTGGTGACAAGGAAAGAGATGTCCTCATCATAAACAGTGACATATTTGTAATGGCCACGACAGGGTAGAGGGGAAGGGAAGCATGAAAAAAACCCTAAGGAAAAAAGAAGCCAGGATGCCTGCAAGGAATATGAATAATAGGTATATTCAACAGGGAGATGGGAAGGGGGGGAAATTTTTTAAGGGCAAGTATTCAGCTAAAGCTGCCTAAAATGAGGCCAGGCCTTACAGAGAATGGATATTTTAAGTGGCAATTTATTCCACTAATAAAAAAAGAAGG